TTTTTAGTTTATGTTGAGACAAAGTCTCATTAAGTTGCCCAGGCTGGCATCAAATTCCTGATCCTCATGCCTCAGCTTCCATAGCAGCTGGAATTGCAGGCCTGGGCCCTCATACGCAGTCCTTATTTATTTATTTTACATGGCCATTCTCATGTTTCTGGCATATGTGCATATCCCACTGCCACCATAAAAATGTGAGCTCCCAAAGGGCGGGTGTTTTGGCCTGCCAGTTTCCCTTCCTTGTCCTGGAAGCAGCCTGGTCCCCCCAGAGGTACCAACAATAGCAGCAGCCAGCATCCCTCCCTCAGGTCCAGGGCTGTCCACCCCCACATGCCTCCAGGCTCCTTGTCACGCAGTCCTGCAATGGGAATTGGCTTTATAGTTCAGGGACTTCTGTTTTTGTCTGTGGAGACCTGTATACTACTGTGCTTGAGAAAATAGACACGATGTGCAGCATCTTGTGCCTCACATTGCTTGTCTGACGTTGGTCCTCACGAATGGCCTGGCTGTGCTGCCCAGGCCTGGAGGAGACATCCCAGGCTCCCCAGGTCCTCAGCCCAGGGATGGCCAGATGCTTGTGGGAGGGCACGTGACTCATCTCAGCTTGTGTAGGAATACGGTCTAGAATCATAGAAAATGAAAGGAACCCCAAATACTTAGTAGGCAATAGGGATTAAAGAATACGCCTATTTTTACCTCTGGAGAATTATAATACCATCGCTAAAAATGTCTTCATCTTGAGAATTTTGTGTTTGTGTTGAGTTAGAAATACAGAGTATATAATCCATGTATTCCTTACAGCTGTGTTAAATAAGAGCACTCAGAAAACAAAAAGGGAATCACCGCATTGTTAAAATGGTGATGAACCAGAAATTTGACTTCAATATCTTTTCCACACTTTATGAAATACCTTTGTATTTCTCTTACGGTGAAAGAGCACCCTCTGTCTTTGTTAAAAACACTGTCATTGCCCAAGACCTATTATTTTGTATGCATTTAGCAGTGTGCTTTCTCCACTGCAGGATGCTGAAACAGAAGAGAAAAGTTCCTGAAGTGACAAAGAAAACAGAGCAAACAACTAAAGAAGGTGTTTGCAGAAGAGATACTGCAGGCACCTGATGCCCCACCAGATGAGGAAGAAGCCAGCCTGGAGGTAAGGCTCATTGGTGCTTCTGTGGGAGAGGGTGGCACAGCTACCTGTGGGGCTGCTCAGTGTCCCCAGAAGCTGTCACAAAACACAGGAGTCTGGGTTAGCATTGGGTTGGAGCACTGTTATTACCTCATCAGCCACCACATCTGCAGGCTGCTGAATAAAGGCCCTGTTTTACATGGGAGTGTAAGGTGCTAGATTGGCCCACAGTGGAGCCTGAAATGTCAGGGGCCTAGGATGGCAGGATGCCTGGGATGTGAGGGCCTGGAGTGGGCCTGGGCTGTGCTGACCCGAGATGGGCATTACGTGCAGAAGGGGAAACTGTCCCTCGCCATGAGGCTCAGGAGCAGCAGGAGACCTGTCTAAAGGCTCAGATCTAAAGGTGTTCCTTCACATGCCGAGCGTTTGAAAATTGATAGTGACATCACTCTTAGAACTGTATGCAGTGGATCATAAACATGATTTTCATACTCACCAAGATGGTACCTGAGCACTCTCTGGCTGAGGTTGTATATTTCTGTTCTCTATCCTGTATTATTGATCTTCCACAGTAATCCACACATACATTTAAGCTTGAATGCACCAAGTTGAGTGTTGAAATTTTACTTGTGTAGTGAGCTCTCATTTTAAGTAGTACAGTTCAGTGATTAAAACAGTGTATTATCAATTTTGGCGAATTAGTAAAGGTAAATAAGTTCCAGCTAGCCATGAATCTCATCACACTTGGCAGGACTCTTCATGTCTGTGCCATTAGTTCAAGTGCAAGTGATGGACGGAGTGTTGAAGTGAGACCAGGCTTCGTGCTGGTTCTCTTCCTGTTTCTCATTTCTGGATTTAAGTGCTCAGTAATCTTGTTCACGCAAAGGAGCAAATGGGAATAGAAGTTTTATCCTAGCAGTGTTGCTTCATGCTTTGAATTATGAGACCATTATGATTTTTGGCACATAGTTCAAAAAATATGTGTGTGTGTGTGCATGTATGTGTTGCAGGATTTTGTGGATGCTAAGCATGTACTGTACCTCTGAGCTGTACCCCAAGCCCCACAAAATATATGTTAAAGATCTACTGTTAAGTGGTAACTTGAGGAGGCACCTCTTCAGGTTTTTTGGAAGAAAGATTTGGAAAGCACCGATTGGCATACAAGTTTGTTCCCTTTTGTGGCACAGCACTGGTATTTCAAGCTTGCATTCAGGTGGGGCCCCAGGGGTCCTTGTACCTCAAGGGAGGGGTGCACCACAGTAGGACAGGGTGTGAGATGTCATTTCTTTCCTAAAATGAGAGAAGGGCCCTTCCTTATGTGAGGGCCTGACTTCTTGACTGGACCCAGCTAGGCTTTGTTCAGAAGGCCTTGGCAGTGTGTACTGACCATGAGCCCAAAGGCATTCCCTGATCCCTGACTTGTGAAGGTCTTGGGATTCTCAGGGGATTCGTGCCTGGGCTGGACTAGGGCTCTGTCCAATTAGACAATTTGGAGTTTTGTGGAGACGGTGTAAAGTAACGTGCAGGTCTGTGTCGGGCAGCAGACTGGGAGCCAAGGGCTAGTGTGGATGGGATAGGCACAGAGCGTCTGCCCAAAGCAGTGCTCAGCCATGTCTCAAGGAGTCATCTCTCAGGTCTCTGGAGCACCTGAGAGAGCAGGGGAAGTCAGACAGGACCCGGGATTTCTTCCTTGTCCTGTGTACATTGGCTGTGTACCCAGGTGGTCAACAGCTGCATGGGTGTGAGGCGCCTTGCTTCTCTCTGCTGAGGTCTCAGGGAACAAGGAAGGATTGTACCCACGTCTTCCTCCATGTCAGTCTCCTATTTACCAGGCCATTAGCTTCCTGTTTCCGTGGGCTGACTGCTTCTTGCTGAAGCCACATGTGTTGGTTCTTATCTTCAGACAGGGTCTCACTAAGTTGCACAGGCTGGGCTGGAACTTGCCATCTGTTTGCCTTTGCTTCCTGAGTAGCTAGGATTACAGGCATGTAGCACCACAACCAGCTGCGTTTGCTTGTTAGTTTGTTTTTGCATTATTGGGGATCGAACTTGGGGACTTGGAACTGAAGTACAACCCTAGCCCATTTTATTTACTTTTTAAATGTTGAGACAGGGTCTCCCTAAGTACATGGTACATGGAAAACACCAAGAGGCCCCAGGCTGTGGAGTGAAGCCAGGCCTTCTGCTGTGCAGGATCCCATGCTATGCCAGGAGAGCCCTGTGTCCCTGGCCCTGCAAAGACTGAGACCCTGACCATTGGACCTCATAGTGAGAGGTGACTGGAGCTGCCCTTCATGACCCATGAATTTAGAGTGTTTCAGTGCGTGACAGCAATCCACTATGTAATGAAAACCTAAATTGTTTTTCTTGACTTTTGACAGTGTTATCTTCACCAAGTGTGGTGGCCCATACCTGTATTCTTGACCCTTGAGAGGCTGAGGCAGGCGGATCTGGAGTTTGAATTCAGCCTACTTTTTGAGTTCACAGCCAGCCTAGACTTGACATTTAGACCTTTGTCTCAGAAATTGTGTTGTCTTCTGAGGTACACAGCTGATTTCTGTGGACTGCTGGATGGAATCTATAAGCAGTTATAATTTGGGGCCTGGAATATCTCCGTCTAGAGCTTGCCTTTCTTCTGTCAGCTGGCTACTGATAACACTAATAAACTCTGACTCATAGAAATGTAATTTCAGAGACTGAGATGAATTTCATGGAGTGGTAAGGTGCCAGTGAACTGTTGGTTAAAATTAACCACTGCTCTTCTGAATTTCCCAGTCCCAATTCAAGTGTAATCCCCATGCTCTGGTCCACTGACCCCGAACCAGCCAGAATCCCTATCCAGGATTTCAGCTTCTCAGCTGCCTCTTGCAGAACCCACTGGTCCCTGAGTGAAAGTAGCCCTACGTGTTGGGCTAACATTCCTGGGCTTCTTTTACTTGTCGTTATGGCATTGAGATATTTTACTCTTTACTTTTTTGATTTTTGATTTTTTTGGTGCCAGGGATCGAACTCGGGACCTCCTGCTTGCAAGACAGGCACAGGAACCACTGAGCCAAATCCCTGGCCCCGAGATATTTTACTCTTAAAAGTACTGGTCTTTATGCCTTAAACCAGACTTTTCTGGTCGTTCTTTCTTTTGTATCAGAGGAAAGAGCTCAGAATTATTTCCTTTTCCACTACTGTGGATGGAACTCAGGGCCTCACAGGTGCCAGGATGTGCTACAGCCCTAGTACTTACAGCCTACTATTTATTTCTTTTTATTATTATTTTACCACAGGTTCTGAGTAAGTTGTCCAGGATGGCTTGAATTTGACATCCTCCTACCTCAGGCTCCAGAGTAGCTGGGATTAGAGTCCTATGCCACCCACCAGACCACAGTATTATGTGTAAGAGTTAAAAGAGTAAACAAAGTTTGGTCTTCATTGGCCACTCTGATGGCACACTCATTGGCTGAGGCTGCCTCTTAGCTCATCACCGCACCCCCCCCCGCCCCCAGAGCAATGCAGCTAAAGCTTATTCTTACCTGAGCGGGTGCCATGGGAGACTGATCTTCACAGCCTTTGTGTGTAATGCAAGCATAACGCTGTGGAAGTTTTACATGGTGCACTACAGTGACAATCCCTAAGCAGTGTTTTCTTTTTTTAACCCCTTGTTCTACGAGCTGGTTTTTAAAAATTGTGTCCCAGGGGGATGCCAAAAGCCACTCCCACAGAGTGGTCCTGAGGCCGAGTTGCCCTGGCAATCAGAGGGGTCCCCAGCAACCAATGCACCAGGAGATGATGCCACCATCTCCTGCCCAGACCAGGTACCTCCTTGGTGAGGCCTAGGCTTGCCATTGGTCAGTTGGGAGGAGGAGAAGGAAGTCTTCGGCCAGTGGGAGGCCATGCCCGTGAAAGTTTGTCCCACTTAAGCAGCTGTCCCAGGTGCAAGCATGTGAGCATGGGTGTCTGCAGAAAGGTGTGTGCTGCCTCTGCTGGTGCCTGGGAGTGGGGGCCATTGGGGAGACCAGGAGCCAGTCTGCACTGCGTGTGCAGACAGCTATCACCTGTCCACTTTGGTGTCCTGGGGGCTGGGTGGGAGGCACTAGTGACTCTGTGGGCGAGAGTCAGCACTATACATGACATGTGGGTGTCAAGGACCTAAGGATGCTGGGCTCCAGGTGTTCAAGGGCACAGACGTCACTCAAGCTCTGGCTACTTTCTATCATCTACAGTTAGGGGTTGGACTCGGAGGTCTGCTTACCCACTGTGGATTTTCAATGCTTGGTTTCTATGGTAGGAATGCTCTGCATTTACTATCACCCATGCGTTTGTCCTTTCATTCAGAAAACCTCCCTTATTTCCTGTTCTGTGTGGGCATTGACCTGATAGGAGTGAACAAACCAGGAGACACAACTGGGATCTAGTGAGCTTGCATGCTAGCACAGACAGGCAGATGAATAAAATCACACAGCAGGTGATAAGTGCTTGGTTGAAGAAAAACCAAGACAGGGACAGAGTGTGGGGAGGTGCTGCAGGTGAGGGAGGCAGAGCTCCAACATCAGGTGTCCAAAACAGATGCTGGGGCCCCAGCTACAAGGAGCCCATTGTGCATGGGCTAAGAGAAGGACAAAGAGAACTGTGGAGGATGATTGGGAGTCGTGGTAGTGAGGAGAGGTCTGAGGTGAGGTGTGTGTGAGACATGTCAGTGTAGCTGTTCCTGTGGGTGCTTATAAAGTGAGGGTGAGAAGTATGAATGGAGAGGGATGGAGGCCATCAGCATCTACCTGGGCTTTACAGCCACATGGTTTGAAGTGCTTGTGTCCCTCCAGTACCTGTACACTCCAATGGTAACCCTCAAATGGTGATGGATGTGATAATTCCTTTGATGGGGAACTCAGTTTACAGTGTCACACGTACAAACTCAGACTGTAGACCTTGAATGCACACAGTGTTTATTTGTCAGGTACACCAGCCAAATCGCTGTGAGGGCTGACATCAAACTCCAACTCCTCCTGCGTCAGCCTGTTCAGTGTTGGGATTAGAGGTGTGCACCATGACATCCAGCTCCAACTTTCTCCCATGGTCCTGTAAATTAAAGATTCCACACCTGACCTGGTGTTCAGTTTTCCATCCTCACATTTAAACAGAACCTCTTTTTTCTCTGGGTGGTCGGTCTAGGGATTAGACTCAGGACCATCTGCTTGGGAGGCAGGGGAGGTGCCACTGAGCTTAATCCCGAGCCCAGTCAGAACCCCTTAATGTGCTACTGGAGCTTTCTGCTCAGAAGTTCAAATTGCTTGGTGTTTTACCTAGGCCCTTGCATAAGACATTCAGGTAGCTCATAAGGGCCCAAGTTAGGAACATAAAAGTCTGCTTCTCAGTCACAGCCCAGGAAATAAGTCTCACTGTCAGTTGAACTTCAGAATTCCTATGCATTTGCAAGAATGTGTGTCTGAGAGGTCAAGGGCACACCGTTCCTCTCCACTGCCTGCTTTTCCATGTGACCCTTGTGAACACCTGCCACCGTCCTGAGGACTGTGTGTACAAACTGGTGTGTGGTGCGCTGTGGGCCATGTGGGTTGCGCTCCTTCTGCAGGGATGGACCTTTTTGGGTCACCCACTCACACTTGCTATACTTGAACGGGGCACACATTGTGCTAAGCTGCTGTCTACAAGTACAGTGGCCCCACACCCTTATCACCACCTGTCACTGGTTTTGTTCTTCTCTGATGAAAAGTTGGCAGCAGCTCACTCTGAATGAGTTTATCTTCAATAAACAGGCTTGAGCCTCCTTCCTGGCAATTATCATTGTTAAGAATTGGAGCTGGGGGCATGGAATGCCATGGGATGCTTAACTGCACCCAGTGGAGTAGGAGGCCTAAGGGTAGAACACATTAAAAATGTTGATAGTGTGCACAACCCTTTTTGTAGACTTCAAGATTTACTTGTACTTTTGAGTAAAGGAAGCAGTTTCAAGCCCGCCCTTCTGCTCAGGGTAGGGAAAGTCTGCCATACTAAGTTACCGGAGTGCTTCCCTACAGATGTTTGAGTGGCACTTGGTGGTGCTAGTCCACCAAATCTGGAGTTGCCAGGTTTAGGATTAAGCCATGACTTTTCCCACAGTGTGTCACCTCGAGCAGTTAGCTTTGCCCCATTTCTGTGTCTGCGTGTTTTAGCCAGTGGCATGTGGCCAGAATGGCCCTAGGTTGGGCAGATGCTACTTGTCCTGTGCGTCTTCTAATGATCATCCCCACCATGGTCCCTGTGTGTCCCATAGGATGTGCTGAGAAGCACAGCTGGGAAATCAGAATGCATGAGAGCTGTGATGGTGGGAAGATCCGGAGGTCACACACACAGTGAGTTCCGGGGTGTCACTGCATGCCTGCCTCTGACTGTGCTTGTGCTTTGCTGAATGGCACCAGCCTAGAGGGTGTGGACATCCACTTTGTAGAGATAGTTTTGGGTTTGTGTGTGGAGTGAGCAAGAAGGGAAGGTGCAGAAGCGAAATGTTTCTCAAACTGGATGGTTAAATACACTTTAGGCACTCGGTGTCTGAAGTCTCAGGAAGACCTCCCTACAGCAAACGGCCTCTCCCTGCCTCAATGCTCTCCTGTTTTGTTGAGCTGAGCTGTGGCTGGCACATTCAACTTGTCTCTGCATGGCGCCCAGGCCCAGGCTTGTGTTCCATGTTTGGGGTCTGGTAAACAGCCTACTTGCCCTCCAGGTGTGTGGGCTACAGTATGGACCATTTTCAAAAGAGGTCATGAGAAGTCCTTTGCTGGCATCAAGAGGGTTGGCAGTGTCTGGGGCAGCAGCCCATCAGTCCTGTTTGGCTGTGTAAGATAACAGTGTGCAAAAGAGTGTTTCCAAATTCGCTCTGAGGAATCAGCCTAGTTCAGACTTGAAAGTTTGGTTCTGAAATGGGTTAGTGGCTGAAATGTTCGGTCAGGAGTTTCCTATATTTAAGCTCCATAGTTCAGGATCTTGGACCTTTTGTCAGCATTGCTGTGCCTTAAGTGAGTGACTGGAAAGCTGGTCTCACTCTGCCCTGAGTTGACTTTGCTCAGATGAGTGTGGATTTCCTTTATTTGGCCTAATGATATGAAAATGTAAAAACACACACACCTTGTGACACAGGGGAGTACAGCAGTCAGAGATTAGCCTGTGACATTAGCTAGATTCTGTTCACAGAGGTTGTTTGCTGTCTGCTTTCTATTTCCTTTGCTTATGCTGTCCTTTCCCATCTCCCTACTGGCAGTCAGGACATGAGGGACTCTGCCATCATCCACCTTGCAGAAGTTTCCTCACACATTTAGAGGGGGATCTGGCAGACCATCCCATGTGTGTCTGAGGGGTCACCTCTGGGGGTCTCGGAGTGCACCCATTTTGGACAGCAGTCTCCACTTACCATAGCTATGTGGGAGTCGGGGAGCTCTACTCACCTGCATGTTGGAAGGGGTCCCCATCCGTGTGATGACGGTCAGGACCTCCACCAATATCCATGCTGTAGAAGGCTCTGCATATACGACTGATCTCAGAAATGATGGAGTGTACTCAGATCCACATATGGGGCTCCACACACATGAGATGGTTATAGTCAGTGAGTGGAGGTCTCTGCTCCTGTATGTAGTGTAGAGCGTTCTGCACATGCCTGTGATGTGAGGATGTAGGGGCCTGGAGTTGTCAGGCCTGCCCTAAATCAACAGGAGAAATAAACAGGCTGCTTTTAGGAAATAAGAGCAGCTTCCGAGTAAGGAAGCAAATGGACTCAAAATTATGGCTCAGAAACCCCTGGCACTGAAAGTCCAGTAATTGTATACATACCTGTGCAGACCATCCATCAGCAGCTAAATCATAAATATGTCGCCACAGATTCCTGAGCCCTTTCAATACCTACATAAGCCTGATTCCTTTCCCAGTGACTTGCTAATATCTCTCTCCCCTGGTAGTAGCCCATCCTCTCAGGGATGAAATCTCTCCAAGCTAGCTGCTACTATCTCTCTCCCATTGTCAGCCCATCCACACAAGAGTGGGATAAACTCGGGTTTTCCCAGCTACCTGCTAAAATCTCCTGATTTCTAGTCCCTGATCTGTGGAATAAACTTTTCTTTTTCTCACAATGAAGATCCTGTTCATTGTTGACAAGTGGATTCTTTATGTGTAGTATAGGCACCCACACACCCCTGAGATGGCCAGGATGTAGGAGCTCCGAGTTCATCCACATACATCACCGTGTGGATGGTCCCACACACCCACCTGAGATGGTCAGGACATGGAGCAGCACAACTTTGTTCACATCCACATTGTAGAGGCCTCTGCACATGCTTAAAGTGCTCAGAATATGAGGATGGGTGATTCTGGGTATACTACTTTCCTAGAGGAAACATCCTCTTTATAGAGGGCTCCACACACACCTGACATAGGACAAGGCATGGGGTCTCTGCTCACTCCGTGATGCAAAAGCTGCACACCTAACTGACATGGGCAGACATCAGGGAGGGTTGCTGGTCCTGTCTGCGGTGAAGCGAACTCCATATGGGGTTGCTGGAATGGCTGAGATGTGACTAACAGGATCAGAATATAGTGGTAGGGGGCTCTACTCACATCGTCCTAGGAGAGATGGCTCCACACTTAGGATCTGAGCCTGGCAGTTTGAAGTTCTGCCAGTATCTACATTGTAGAAGGCTACACACACACACACACACACACCTGAGGAAGTAGGGAGTGGGGCAGTTCTTTCCCATCTACACTGTAGACAACTCCACATACAGCCTGAGATGGTCAGGACATGGGAGGCTCTGTGCACGTCCAGGTCAGGCAGGGCTCCCCACACACCACATATATTCAGCATGTGTGGGGGCCTGGCCAGGATCTAGAAGGCTAAGACCTCTGGGATGCTTGTATGCAGCAAGGTGGGTGTCTGCTGCCATCATACTGTACAGCACTCCACCCACGATGGTCAGGATATGGAGGAGACTGCTCACCTCCTTGTTGTATAAGGACCCACATCCTATGAAGATGATCACGAAATTAAGGGATCTGCTCCACATCCATGTTGTAGAGGTCCCTGCTCGTTTCTGAAATGGAAAGGATACTGGGGGCTCTACTCACGTCCATTTCATAGTGTGTGTCACCTGCCGATGTGCTCTGCTCTCAGGCACATTACAGAGCACTCCACATCCCCAGCATGCTCAAAACAATATGGCAGTGCTCAGTTTCTTCTTTCAGAGGGCTCCTCCACCTGCTGAGGTGGTCAGGAAATAGATAGTTCTGGTAACTTCCTCCTTGGAACAGAGAGCTCCAAAACCGAAGCCAGTCTGGTTACAGTGGTCTGCTCACATCCATGTCGTACAGGGTTCCACGCATGCCCGTGAGTAGGGACATGGATAGGCTCTGTTCACTTTCTCATTGTACAGGGCTCCACCAGTGCCTGAGGGCTTCAGGACATGGGCGAATATCCCTGCTTATATCACACTCTCATGAGGTGGTCAGGGTGGGGGTGTATGCGCACAACACTGTACTGTTTCTGACAATGGGGACAGGCAGCTGGTGGGGTGATTGTGCACACACCCTTGCGGCAGACTTCTGGCCATGGGGTGAGGGCTGGATTTACATTTCCATTGCACAAGTCATCAGACAAATCTGAGCAGTTGAGGACATGGTGGGTGTTCAGGTCTAGTTCACATTGTACAATGTTCTCCACACACCTTAGGCAGGGATGACAGGTCAGGGAGATGCAGGCAGCCCTGCTCACAATTATATCAGAGAGGGCTCCATGATCAGCCAGTTAGTGAGATCATGGTGATCTCAGTTACAACTACATAGTGCACGGGATCACAATAGAAGTAGAATTAGCTATATGGTGAATTGTGTTCATGTCCATGTTCTTCGGGCCTCTCCTCGTGCATGAAATTTCCATATTTGAGGCTATGGCCTCATATGCACATCGCGTGGGATTCCACACACCTGAGATGGTGGAGATGTGGGTGGGGATGTGGCCATGTAGATGTTACAGAGGCCTGGTGTATATCCCTACAGCAATGATGGCGGGATGTGGCTCCACTCCCATCCACATTTTATACAGGCCCCAGATGGTCAGCACAAGAAGACCCTTGGGCCTTCTTCATGTTCACATCCTTGTTGTACAGGGCTCCACACATGGCTGAGTTCATCCACATGTGGAAGACTGCATGCACATGTATATCACACAGAGTGCAAGTCACACCCGGAAAATCAGGACATGCATGGAGATTTTGGTCACATCTACATTTGCCAGGTGTCTTTACCAACCTGAGGAGGTCAAGACCTGTGGCTTTCTGCTCTCAGCCTGGTAGAAGTGCTCCAAATTTACTTGAGTTTGTCAGAACATGGGGCATGCTGCTCACATGCATATTCCTGAGGTGCTCAGGACATGGGTTGGTGCTGCTCATATCCCCGTTTTAGAGGTTTCTACATATGGCTTCACTTGTGACATGGAAGGCCCAGACCACATTCTCCTTGTGACCCTGGGATAGGAACATCTGAGGAGGTGAGGAGAAAGGTGTTCTACTCACATATGTGTTGGAGATGATTCTGCACATAATTCACCTCGGCAGGATGTGGAGGCTCTGCTCACATGATCTGGCAGGGCCCTGCATGTGCCCGACTTTGGGAGGACACAGGAGGGCATTGCTTACCTCTTGGTTGGTACAGGGCTGCACATCTGACTGAGATGGTGAACATGTGGGTGTGTGGGTGTGGGGGATAGGGGCATTGCACCCATACTCACCTTGCAGACAGTTCTGCACATGCCTCAGGGTTTTAGGATACTAGTGGCTCTGTTCTTATCTTCATTTTTGAAGTGGCCACGTATACATGTGATCATCACCACAGGCACATGGCTCTGATCACACCTGTGATGTAGTTGGTTTTCACACTTCTGAGACATTCAAAAGGAGTTTGGGCTCACATGCTGTCCACGGGGTAGAGGGCCCCATATGTGACCGAGAAGGAGCTGCCTTGGTCGTGTGCTCCTGTGTGTCTCAGATCTTCACAAATGCCTGAGTGTGTCAGGACATGTGGGTGGTGGCCCTGCTCACATACACATGCACAGGGCTCCCCACATTCTTCATAAGTCATGTCACAGTGTACATGGGGGCCTCTGTCCACATGCACCTAATGGATTCCCTGACACGAGCCTGATGAGGTCCACCCACGGGTGCTGCGGTCATTCAGGTTGAAGAGAGCTCAACACAGAGGCATGTGGTAGTTGGGAAAGGGGGAGGGGCTGTTCCTAAAGTCACTTTGTAGTGGAGTTGCAAACACCTGAGGGTGTAAGGATGTGGGGGTGCGCTTCTCACATTGTAGAGGTCTCCACGGCTATCTGGGGTTTCAGGATGTGAGGCCTATGCTTCCACTCTCCTTGAAGAGGGCTCCCAAGCACCATACAAGTTTGCACACAGGAAGTGTGTTCACTTCCCTCTGGCCTAAGCTCTAGACTTGTAGAGATGATCTTCACCTGGCCAGATTACAATGGCTGCCTGAGGTTGGCCAGACACAAGAGGGCTTTGCCCACATAGAGTATTGTCCATGGCTCCACTGTTGCCTGAGGTGGTCGGTGTGTATGTGGAGGCACTGTTTCTACTCCCTCGTAGAGGGCTCCACACATGCCTGAGGCCTTGACAGAATAAGTTGCTCTGTTCAAATTCTATGGTGAAGACGGCTCCACATGCATGAGATGAGAGGAAGGGAATGGCTCTTCTTGCATCCACTTTATAGGACCTACGTGAGAGGTTCAGGAAATGGTGGGCCACTCCTCACATCCACTTTGAAGAGGGATCCATGCATGATGCAAGTATCCAGGGTGTGTGGTATCTGCTCACGTTCCCATTGTAATGGTGTTGTATTCACATCCATGTTGTGGATGATTCTGCACACAATTCAGGTCCGCAAGACATGGAGGCGCTGCTCACATGATCTTGCAGGGCCCCGCATGTGCCTGAGTTTGTCAGGAGAAATGAGGGTGCTGCTCAGTTCTTAGTTTTTTACAGGGGTACACACTTGCTTGAGATGCTGAGCATGTGTGCATGTATGGGGTGTTAGGGTATAGGGGTATTCTTTGCATACTCACCGTGCACAGAGTTTGGCACATGCCTGAGTCATTCATCGTATTGGCTCTGTTCACATACTTATTGCCGATGCCGCCGTACATGCATGTGATTGATCATCACCACAGGTGCCTAGCTTTGGTCATACCCATGCTGCTGTGGGTTTCCACACTTCTGAGACGGTCAGAAGTGGATAGGTGGGGCTCCTATCCTGTCCACCGGGTAAAGGGCTCAATATGTGAGCTTTCCTGTTGGAGAGGGACCACACATGCCCTGCTTGGCAGGACATGGGAGGCCGCTCTTCACATCCCTGTGGCTCAGGTCTTCACACATGCCTGAGTGTGTCAGGACATTTGTGTAGTGGCCCTGCTCACATATGCACTGTACACGCATCCTCGTGTTCTTCAAAGTCAAGTCACGGTGTGTGTGGTGGCCTCTGTCCTCATTCACCTGATGGATTTCTCCACAGGGCCCTGATGTGTTCTGCGCTTGGATGCTCTGGCCACGTTCAGGTTGACAAGGCTATTGTACACAGGCATGACGTAGTGAGGACATGGGGAGGAGCTGTTCCCAAAGTCACTTTCGAGGGCTCCGAAACACATGACGCTGTGAGGATGTGGCGAGGCATCTCTCGCCTCAAACTGTAGCAGTTTCCGTGTCATCTGAGCTGTGAGGATGTGGAGCCTGTGCTTCCACTGCCATTGGAGAGGGCTAACAATCACAGTATGAGTTTGCACACGGGAAGTGTGTTCACCTCCCTATTGTCTAAGGCTCTATACTTGGAGAAATGATCTTCACCTGGCCAGGCTCCACCCTACCTGAGGTAGTCCGGACTTGCCAGGGCACTGCACACATGGAGTGTTGTACGGGGCTCCACAGTGGTCTGTGTGGGAGGCACACTGTGCATTTCCCTCGTAGAGGTTTCCTCACATGCCTGAGGCATTGACGGAATTGGCTGCTTTGTTCATGTTCTATGTTGAAGAGGGACCCAAATGCAAGAAATGAGCAAAACTCATGGATGGCTGTGTTCACATCCACTTTGTAGAAGGTTTGCACCTACCTGAGTGGGTCAGGAAATGGTGGGGCTCTTCTCACATTCACCATGTAGAGGGCTCCATGCATGATGCAGGTGTGCAGTGTGGGTGGGGTGTGCTGACCTTCCCGGTGTATCAGAAGCATGTGTACAGGGGAGTGTCAGTGTGTGGCAGGGCTGTGATTACACTCAGGTTGTCCAGGGCACCACCAATGCCTGAGGTCGTCAGGACACGGGGAGGCTCTGGTCACGATCACAGTGTGCAGGGCACCACACATGCGTGAGCTGGTCAGGAGGGCAAGAGGCTCTGCTCACATCCACTTTGTAAGGGGCTGCTTGCTCACCTCTGGTGCTTAAGATAAAGGTGGGGCTCTGGTCACTTTCACATTGTGGAGGGCTCTGTACTTGCCTGAGGTTGTCAGGGCATACACGGGTTGTGCAGATTCTGCTTTCATTCAAGTTGTTCAGGGCTCCATGGAAAGGGTTTGTGGTCAGGACATGGGGCGCTCTGTTTCTATCCATACCATGGAAGGCTCAACACAGTTCTCAAGACATGTCAAGGGCTTGGTTTTCTGTTCACATACACAATTTTTAGGGACCAACCCTCCAGGCAGGATAAGGACTTGGAGAGTCACTCTTCTTCCATGTTCTCTTTTTGCAGGCCTACACATAAGTGATATTGTCAGGACCTGTGGCCCGATTCACAGGTACATTAATAAGGGGTGCGTAGATGCAGAACATGGATCAAACCTGGGGTGCTCTGGTCTTATCCACACCATTGAGGAATCCATATACCCAATGTGGTCAGGCCAGTTGAGCATTGGTCACATGAATGATGCAGATTGCTCCACCACTGCTTAGGTGCTGCAGACTTAGAAAGCTCAGGTGATTGCATCCTTGCAACAGAGGGCTTGAAACCCCTGAGATGCTTAGCATAGTTAGGCTGTTCACATCCACGCTGTCCTTGGCTCTACAGAGGCCAGGGGTTGTGAGGACATGGAGAGGCTCTGCTCACATTTCAGGTGTACAGTGTTCCACCCACAACTGAGCTTCCAAGGTCATGGGGTGCTCTTTTCACATTCACTTTGAAGAGGGCTCCACACTTGGGAGAAGCTTTGTCCACATGGTGGGGTGCACTGCTCATAGCCATGTTATCGAGGTTTTCCTCGGGCATGCAATGCTCAGTAATTGGTGCATCTCTGGACATATTCTCTTTGGACAGTGTTCCCTTCAGGGTGGCAAGGCGTAGAACATGTAGGGCTTTGTTCTAGCTGACTCAGTAAAAGAACTACACACCCGAGTTTGTCAGGAATTTGCAAGTCTCTGTGCACTTTCACATTCTATGGGGCTCCACCAGTGCCTGAGGTCATCAAGACATGTTGGAGTGTCCCTGTGGACATGTGTACTGTGCAGTGCTACACACCCTGCTGAAATGGTCAGGACACAGGTTTTTGTGCTCACCACCTTGTGGTAGACTTCACACCATGGGGATGGGGCTGGATTTCCAGTTCCATTGCCCAAGTCATCAAACGAGTTTGAGCAGGTGGGACATGGTGGGTGTTGAGGTCAAGTTTACTTTGTACAAGGGTCTCCACATGACTTAGCTCATAAGGACTGGTCAGGGGATGCAGGAAGCCCTGCTCACATTTATATCAGTAGTGACTCATCTGCAGCCACTTAGTGAGGTCATGGACATCTCATGTGACAACCAGTTAGTACAGGGATCACAATCACATTAGAGCTAGATACACAGGGAGTTGTGGTCATGTTAGTTTTCATGCCTCAGGGATTGAGGATGTTGGTGGCTCTCATCACATCCTCTTTGTTGAGGCACCACACATGTGTGATCATCACCACTGAAACATGGCTCTGGTCACATCCATGTTGCAGAGGATTTTCACACCTCTGAGCCAGTCAGAAGGAAGTGGGGGTGCTGTCCTTTCCATGTGGTACAGGGTTCCATATGTGACCAAGATGGAGCTGCCTTGGTTGTGCTCTCCTGTTGTAGAGGGACCACACATACCCTGATTGGCAGGACATGGAGGGCCGCTCTTTACATCTGTGTGTCTCAGATCTTCACAAATGCCTGAGTGTGGGGTCGTGTGTGGGTTCTGCTCACATGTACACTGTACAGGCTCCCCATGTTCTTCAGAAGTCAAGTCACAGTGTATATGGGGGCTCTGTTCACATTCACTTCATGGATTCCTTGACCTGAGCCAGATTTGGTCCTCTGGCCACATTCAGGTTGAAGTGGGCTCCACACAGATTCATAATGTAGTGAGGACATGCGGATGGGCAGTTCCCAAAGTCATGTAATAGAGGGGTGACCAACACCTGAGGTTATGAGGATGTGGTGGGTAGTTTGTATTCACAGCACATTGTAGAGGTCTCCACAGGTATCTCAGAGTTTCAGGTCATGGGGCTTATGCTTCCACTGCCATTGGAGAGGGCTCAAAGTCACAGTAGAACTTTGCAGACAGGATTCGTGTTCATTTTCCCATTTTCTAAGGCTCTGTACTTGGAGAAATGATCACATACACACACCCCTCACTGAGCTCCATCCAAGACTGAGTTTGTCCAGACAAGAGAGGACATTTCCCACGTTGTATTATATAGGGCTCTACACATGCCTGAGGTGGTCAGGATTTCTGTGGGGGCACTGTGCCCATTCTCTCATAGAGGCTTACATATTCCTGAGGCATTGAGCCAATGGGCTGCTCTGTTCATATTCCACAAGGAAGAGAGCTCTGCGTGCATGAGACAAGCACATCACGGGGAAGGTGGACCACACACCACACATAGCTTATAGGTACTGCTCACATTCTCATTGCAGAAGATTTGCACCTGCCTAAGAGCATCAGGAAATGGTGGGCCTCTTCTCACACCCACCTTGTAAAGGGGTCCATGCACAATGCAGCTATCGTGAGTGTGTGAGGTCGGCTGACCTTGCCATTGCAGCAAGACCACAAATACCCAGTTTGTCAGTGTGTGAAAGGCAGCACTCACATTCATGTCATCCAGGGCACCACCAATGCCTGAGGTCATCAGGACATGGGGGAGGCTCTGCTCACAATCACAGTATGCAGGCCTCACACATGGGTCAGTTGCTCAAGAGAGTGAGAGATTCTGCCAATATCTGGTTTTTAAGGGGCTGCTTGTACACCTGTGGTGCTTAAGTCTAGGGCGGGGCTCTGGTAACTTACATT